GCAGCCTCCGACTGCGCCGCCGGTGCTGATGCTGGGGGCGGTGGCGGTGGTGCCGCGGATGGCTCAACCGGCGGGGCCGCCTTGCCCCAAGACGCCGCCGCGTCCACGCTGGCCAACCACCTCGCTTTGGCCGCAGCCTCCGACTGCGCCGCCGGTGCTGATGCTGGGGGCGGTGGCGGTGGTGCCGCGGATGGCTCAACCGGCGGGGCCGCCTTGCCCCAAGACGACGCCGCGTCCACGCTGGCCAACCACCTCGCTTTGGCCGCAGCCTCCGACTCCGCTGCCGCTGTCGGTGCTTCCGGCGCCGGTGCCGCAGCCGCCCCCTCTGGCGATGCTGCAGCCGCCACCTCGGACGCCACGGCAGACACCGCCGCCGTCGCCGCGGCCCACGTCGGCGCGTCGAGCTTGGCCAGCCAGGCCGCCTTCGCCTCCTCCTCGCGCGAGAGCGTGTCGCACGCGGCGGCGTCGCCGGAGCCGCACGCCTCGGCCAGCTCCGCCACCGCCGCCGCCGAGCCGGCAACCTCCCACGCGGCCACGCGGGTGAGCGCCGTCGCCGCCTTGCCCCACTCCGGCGCATCGAGCCGGGACAGCCACGCCTGCGGGGCAGAGCGCGCCGCCGAGGCGTCGGCGACGGGCGCGGGCGGCGCGGGGGGAGGCCCCTCTCTGGCCTGCTTTGCAGCCTCCTCGGAAGCCTCCGGGTCGGAGCCCGGCGAAGCCACCGTCGTAGCGACCTCCGACACCGCCGCAGCCACGGCGCCCCTACGGGTGGGCCGCGGCTCAGGTCAGGGGCTCGGTCGGCGAGGCGTGCGGCACGGAGCGAGCGCTGCCAGGTCGGCGCGTCCAGCTTCTGCAGCCACGCCCTCTTCGCCTCCTCTTCCACGCCGCGCTGGCTGCACGCCTGCTGCACGCCCGCGTCGCACTTGGCTAGCAGGTCCGCCTCCGCGGCGGCGGCCGCCGACGCCTCCGCGACGACCGCCGCCGCCGTCCCCCACGACGGAGCGTCCAGCCGAGAGAGCCACGCACGCTTCGCAGCCTCCTCCGCGTCGCCCGCGCTCCACGCCTCGCCAGATCTCATGGCGCCCTCCGGTGCTACGGCTTGCGGCGGCGGCAGAGCAGCTGCAGCCGGTGCGGTTGGCGGGGCCGCCTTGCCCCAAGACGACGCCGCGTCCACGCTGGCCAACCACCTCGCTTTGGCCGCAGCCTCCGACTGCGCCGCCGGTGCTGATGCTGGGGGCGGTGGCGGTGGTGCTGCGGATGGCTCAACCGGCGGGGCCGCCTTGCCCCAAGACGACGCCGCGTCCACGCTGGCCAACCACCTCGCTTTGGCCGCAGCCTCCGACTGCGCCGCCGGTGCTGATGCTGGGGGCGGTGGCGGTGGTGCTGCGGATGGCTCAACCGGCGGGGCCGCCTTGCCCCAAGACGACGCCGCGTCCACGCTGGCCAACCACCTCGCTTTGGCCGCAGCCTCCGACTGCGCCGCCGGTGCTGATGCTGGGGGCGGTGGCGGTGGTGCCGCGGATGGCTCAACCGGCGGGGCCGCCTTGCCCCAAGACGACGCCGCGTCCACGCTGGCCAACCACCTCGCTTTGGCCGCAGCCTCCGACTGCGCCGCCGGTGCTGATGCTGGGGGCGGTGGCGGTGGTGCCGCGGATGGCTCAACCGGCGGGGCCGCCTTGCCCCAAGACGACGCCGCGTCCACGCTGGCCAACCACCTCGCTTTGGCCGCAGCCTCCGACTCCGCCGCCGCTGTCGGTGCTTCCGGCGCCGGTGCCGCAGCCGCCCCCTCTGGCGATGCTGCAGCCGCCACCTCGGACGCCACGGCAGACACCGCCGCCGTCGCCGCGGCCCACGTCGGCGCGTCGAGCTTGGCCAGCCAGGCCGCCTTCGCCTCCTCCTCGCGCGAGAGCGTGTCGCACGCGGCGGCGTCGCCGGAGCCGCACGCCTCGGCCAGCTCCGCCACCGCCGCCGCCGAGCCGGCAACCTCCCACGCGGCCACGCGGGTGAGCGCCGTCGCCGCCTTGCCCCACTCCGGCGCATCGAGCCGGGACAGCCACGCCTGCGGGGCAGAGCGCGCCGCCGAGGCGTCGGCGACGGGCGCGGGCGGCGCGGGGGGAGGCCCCTCTCTGGCCTGCTTTGCAGCCTCCTCGGAAGCCTCCGGGTCGGAGCCCGGCGAAGCCACCGTCGTAGCGACCTCCGACACCGCCGCAGCCACGGCGCCCCTACGGGTGGGCCGCGGCTCGGGTCAGGGGCTCGGTCGGCGAGGCGTGCGGCACGGAGCGAGCGCTGCCAGGTCGGCGCGTCCAGCTTCTGCAGCCACGCCCTCTTCGCCTCCTCTTCCACGCCGCGCTGGCTGCACGCCTGCTGCACGCCCGCGTCGCACTTGGCTAGCAGGTCCGCCTCCGCGGCGGCGGCCGCCGACGCCTCCGCGACGACCGCCGCCGCCGTCCCCCACGACGGAGCGTCCAGCCGAGAGAGCCACGCACGCTTCGCAGCCTCCTCTGAGCCCGCGCTCGGCGGCAGCACGCTCGAGCCCGAAGCCTCGCCCCCAAGGGGACCGGCAGCAATGCCGTCGGGCGGCTGGATGACGTCGGGGAGGGGCGGGAGACCGCCGCTGCCGTCCAGCGCCGGGCCGTCTGCGAGCCAGGCTGCATAGTACGAGCTGAACTCCCCCTTGCTCTGCGCAAGG